CATTCAGATCTTCTGCAAGGGGTATATATAAACAAACAAATAGCCAAATAAGAATTGGTAAGCCGCCTGAAGCGCGGGAAAACCCAAGTGGCGTAGTCGCATTTCATTTTTGTTTAGAATCTGATTGGTTGGGAGGATGGCGCGAGTTTTCTGGGCCAATCATGTAATTGTGGATTACTTTCTACACTTAATGGAAGTTGTTTTCATACGTAGCCAAGTACATTGTTTTGCTCTCCGAGGCTAAGTCGGGAGCGCGAAATCTGACGGTCTGAGGTTCAAAACGTAACGGAGGACTCTGACCCACGCTCCTGGCAAAGACATTTTCTTATATTCGACGTCAACGGGCTCGAACTTTATAATCTCTCTTATAGCTTATTTTAATATTGCTTTCACTTCAGGTGACAGTGTGGATGTGTCCAACTGGTTCAGCAAGCTTACACTTGAGCTCATCCTCTCCACTGCGTTTGGCGTGGACGCTGCGATCCAAACAGACCCAAACAGCGAGATTTTGCGCAAAGCGAGAGAGATTTTTGGTGCCCCCTCATCCTTGCGTGTCCTTCATCGTCTTCCATTTGGAAGCAACCTACTTCGTTTCATAAGCCACTTCAAAGGAGGGAAAGGCGAATACTTTGAGAACCTGGCGAAGGAAATCATAAGAAAGCGCCTTGAAGAGGGAACAAACGAAAGGGTTGACCTTTTACAGTTGATGTTGACCGCAAACAAATCAGCCGATTATTCTAGCAAACTTTCTGAAGACGAACTTGTTGCTCAGTCAGTTTTCTTTTTGTAATTCGGCTACAAAAAGACAAGCAACACTGTGGCCTTTATTGCTTACTTTCTGCCAGCGAATCCTCATGTCCAGGATAAGTTAAGGAAAACAATTCGAGAGGCACAAAAGTCCAATCCTAAGGCGTCAATGTTTGGTATCGGACAGGACGTTTATTACCTTGATTGTGTCAATTACGAATCTCTCCGACTATGCCCGCCGATATTTCAAATGAATCGCTCCTGCCAGGAAGATTATGATATTAAAGGTATTCACATCCCAGCTGGAATGGAAGTGATAATCCCAACTTACGCAATTCATCACGACTCCAAAGCTTGGCCGAATCCAGAGAAGTTTGATCCCGATAGATTCCGACAAGAAAATGAGGGCGATCGTCACTCGTACCAGTTTTAGCCTTTCGGAGCAGGTCCCCGAAACTGTATCGCAATGAGGTTCGCCTTAATGGAAATAAAGATTGCATTGGCGCAAATATTGATGAAATACAAGTTCGTTCAGTCACCAGAAACACAAGTTCCACTGGCCTTACATACAGGGGTTATGCTATCGCCAAGAAATGGCAACTTTCTCAGAGTGGAAAATGCCTAGGAACCTATTTTAAGCTTTTAAAAGCCCACCTTCACTTTTAATTGACTTTGAACGAATTTTACAAAAATGGTTTTTAAGTAGGGCCTATATTTTTAGATTTAATACGATATTTGATAACAGGTTTTGATGATAACATCATGTGATCTCCTGCCCAGATCCTATCGTGTTACTAAAATGTACCCAGATTCTACCGTGTAACTGAAATGTAGGATCTTGCAACCGCTTGGCCGTGGAAGGCTTGGGTACGAGACTTAACATTGTCTTTTTTTTCCGGGACTGGTCATGATTAATCGACAGGGTGGAGGGAGGGGGGGTTGTTGGAGGGTTTTGTTTGAGTCACGATAAAACTCACATGATCCTCTTATAAAGGTCTATAATATTCTTTTGATCCTCCTCACTGGCAGTCAATTTTCTATCCTCTCCCCTTTGTACTTTGTTGGCGACGAATGACCCCCCCCCCTCCCATGTTCCCCCTGACACCATCTGATCCTCTCAATTAACCTTATTCCCAGGACCTTTCCCTTAGCTGGGGTTGGGGCGGAAAAAGGCCCCGGGAACGAATTGACCCCTCAAATAATCCTCCGATCTCCGCGGCAGCCCCTCCTAATCCCTTAGAGATGAAAGTTCCCGGGTGATGTGATTTGTGGTTTTTCCAGAGGTTTCTTATGTCCTTGGTCCAGAGATCAAGGTACCGCCCGGAACAGATCCTTGGTAGTTGCCCCTTTTCTCCCAAACCTCAAATTTGTGAAATTCTCACCCAAATTGATTTGGTATATGTAATTCCTTCAATTCTAATCTGCCCCAAAAACTTTTCCTTCTTTCACAGAGGCGTAGCTAGGGTAGCGGTCGGAATGCTTTTGGGTTGCCACTGACCCCCCCCCCAACATTCTTGTGGAATAATTTCCTTTTAAGTCAATAGCACAACTTGAACGCATAAATCTTTTACAGTGCGAGATTTTTAGTTCCTTCTCATCATCGAATACAGGCCCCATGATGCACGAGGTATAACAGTAGGGTAACTCACCTCACGTAAGGTACACAGAAATTACTGACTACACTATATGCCATTCTCCCTCCCTCCCTTCCCCCTCCCCCCCATCCTTTGCTAATCCTAGCCACCCTGTTTGCCCCGGTCATTAAGAAGCAAAAAGCGAATTCGACTGGGAAGAGTTTTACTTAATGTAAAGGTATTCATCATTTCAATAATTCAATAAATGAATTCTTTTCACCATAATCTGAAGTATGTGGAAATTGACATAGTCAATTTGATAACTAGAGCAGCAAAAAAGCAGTGAGTTTTACTGTTTAACAGTAAAACTACAATACTTCTGAAAAAAAATTCCACAGAAATGGATCTACCCCGAATCAGGAAAAGTATAAAAAACTATCTTTCTGTAAAGACTTCGATTGTTTCTTCACACACTGATCAAAACAGGGAGCACCCAACAAAAACTAAAACACGTGGTGCTTCCTAAAAGTGATATGTTAATGCTTTCGTAACTCGAATTAAAGAGTTGTGAAAACATATGCATCTGGTAGTTTTCGTACGGTTTAGATCACGCTAGTTAGAATACGTAGCCTTTAGCTCTTTTTAGTTCAGAAGACACTGAAACGAAATCCTAGTCGCATTGGGTTTCATACTTTAAAACAAAACCAAAGGAAGCCATGAGGTAATAACAAACAGACAGTTGCTGAGACATTCTTCGGACAGATTTTGTACTTCAAGAGAGTTAAAGCGAAAAAGTTTTCATTGCAGTCGACAGTGACTGCTCAAGTTTTTCAGCTCAGCGACTTTGCTTTGCTCTCGTTGGACTGAAAACATCGCCTTTCCGTGCGTAAAATTTTGAATTTGGCCGATCGACCAGGAATTGTGATATTCATTTTGTTGAATTATCGATTGTTTGAAACTACACAGGCGTTGAGGCCATTGATAAAAGCGCCAAGTTTTTTCTTGTTTACTTTTCGTACTCCGCCGGTTACAACGCCAGCCCGATGAAAATGCTGAAAACTCAGAAACTCCAATTTTTCACAGTGTTTGACAATAATCTGCAACGCCACCATAGTGTTTTTAGTGTCCTGGACAATTCCCAAATGCACATGCGTCAAATTCGGGTTGCCGCTGACCATTCTCTCAATGCCATAAGAAGTAATGCCTTGAATGTCTTTTAGGTTAATGTCTCGTAACATGTTGCAGTGTTTTCCGAGAGTTGTCAAACTTTTATCCGTGATACTGCTGCAACCTGCGATGTTAAGACTTTGTAAATTCTTGCATTCCTGTGCCACAAAGTACATTCCTTTATCGGAAATTTGTTGACATCGAGCCACCGAAAGACTTTTTAATTCATGGCACCGACTGGCAATTGATTTAATTCCGTTGTTGCTGATCCCATGGCATTTTTCTACGTTCAGCTCTTTCAAGTGAGGACAATTCCTCGCGATGACACTGAGCCCACGGTTAGAAACCTTTGTTCGTCCAGCTATATTCAGTCTCTGCAAGCGCTGACAAGAACGTGCCACGTGACCAATTGCCTCGTCAGTGATTGGCTTACAGTGGTCACCTGACAGGTCAATACTTTGGATTCCCCTCGAATATGAAGTAACAGCTTTCACTGTTTCGTCAGTGACTGGCTGAGTAGCTCCGCTAAATTTAAAGTCCACTTCGCGCCAAAATGTAGAGTCCTTACAAAGATTGTTCCATCGCTGACAAACGTAGGAGGCTTGTGTTCTTTGCTGCAGTGACAAATAGGAAAATATGCGAAGCCAGATGTTATCTGGGAGTAGCCATTGAGGCTCTGATGAGTCTCGTTCATCTTCCAGGTAGGAGACTATTCGACTCCGACGTGACAGAAATACTGTTTCTTGTGGTTTTATCCTTGATAAAAAGAGAAACAAACGAAAACATATGCTCACGATTTTACAAGGAACGGTGCGCATGCAAGCAACAAAACAGCTTAACCATCTTTTTAACTTTAAATTGGAAATTCAATTTTTGTTCAAATGGAGTCAGTCATCTGTTTACTAAACCGCCCTTGTTCCTTTTTCAAGTTTGGCCACCTCTCATCCCAAACTAACTGTTACAGTATTTAAATGTTTATGGCTATTTGATGAGAATGTCTAAGACGAAAAATGACGAGATGCTACACTATTAATTACTGCAGCAGTTTGTCTACAGCGGCTTTGCTCTGTTTCGTTTTTCGGTTTACGGTTTGTTTCAGCAAAGTAAGAAAGCGCGGAACGAGCGCGCGAGAACTAACGCAGAGCGCGAATTCAACTACCGGAATAAATAGAAGGTCTCGGAACACACTCGTGTCTTAGTCTAAAGCATAGGATACTAATTCACATTCACTTGACGGAAAACTAGTGTGAGCTTTGAAGACTACTTAATGAGTCCTCCGTATCAACCCTTGGAGTTTCGGCCGCTCGTTAGTGAAGAACTTAAAGAAATAGTTCAGACGTTTACTATTGGTAAAGCCCCTGTGGAGTTGACAACATTCCCATGAAAAAGGGTTGTTAACCTTTCATCAGAGAGTAGGTGTTTTCCAGACACCCTTAAAATAGCGAAAGTTCTTTCCATATTCAAATCTGGTGATCCAGAAAGGAAAGAAAATTATAGACCAATCTCCATTCTTCCAGCCTTCTCTAAACTTTATGAAAGAGTAGCGTACAATCGTATTTATAAACATCTAACGGACTTCAATCTTTTGTAGAATAACCAGTTTGGTTTTCGTAGACATCACTCCACCTCTATAGCCTTAATTCAATTGGTAAATAACATCGCTTCTTCTATAGACAATAAAGAAACAACTGTTGGAGTTTTTCTCGATCTCTCTAAAGCCTTTAATACTATTGATCACCAAATACTGCTCAAAAAGCTTCATCATTATGCAATAAGAGGAAAAACCCTCGACGGGATCTCCATCTATCTAGAAAACAGGCAACAGTTTGTGCAGTTTGGTACAACTCGTTCACGACTGGAACCTAATACATGTGGAGTCCCGCAAGGTTCAATCTTGGACCCCCTGTTGTTTATAATCTATATCAAAGACCTCCCAAATGCATCTGATATAGTAAAAACTCTTTTCAGTATTTGCTGATGATACTAGTCTTTTTCACTCTCATAAAGATCCCAACCAGAACATATCCGTCATGAATTGGAAAATAAGGAAGATAATGTGCTGGCTTAATGCTAATAAACTATCATTTAACAATGCAAAAACTAATTACATTCTTTTTCGTCCGAAACAAAAACGTATTGTTTTTAATGGTAACATCACTCTTGACAATATCAGCATCAAACAGGTTGAGGTAACAAAGTTTCTTGGAGTTCTTGTTGGTCAACATCGCTCGTGGAAGCAACATATATCCCACATTACTAAAAAGATATCGAAAACTATTGGAATAATAAGCAAATCTCGTTTCTTTCTTTCTTCAAAATCTTTACTAACCTTATATCACACTCTAGTGTATCCATATCTCAGCTATTGTAATATCGTATGGTCCTCAACTTATCATTCTAATTTAAACAGGATTTTCCTCCTGCAGAAACGTATAGTCAGAATTATAAGTGGAACCGAATACCTAGCTTATACTGCGCCCTTATTCTACAATCTTAATATCCTTGATGTTTATAACATTGATGCTGTCCTTGAAGCTTGTTTCCTATCATAATAACCTACTTCCTAATTGTACGAGAGATTTACCAAGCCTACCCCTCACAGTTTTGTGACGTTGAGCAGCACTACCAAATTTGGGCTAGGGCTGCCAAATAAGGTGATGAGCACGTGCGTGTGGAAAGAATAACAAGGAGGTTGTGAGAGCGCGAGTTTATGGAAAGTTTTTCCGTCGAATTTAGTGAGAGTTTCGTGAATTAGATTGAAGCGCAATAAACCAGGAAGCTTGTGTTATGGTGAGTTCTATGGGCTGTTTTATTGTTCGGCTCTTAATGCTTTTGATACTCTTTTTTCAACTCATCATGAAATTCATACGTACGATGCTCGGAATAATAGAAACTACTGTACACACTATTGCAGAACTAATATAAAGTTTACGATCATGTACCAAGGTCCAAAGGTTTGGAATTCCTTACCTCGTGATCTTATCCTATCCTACAGATTCTCCGCCTTTATAATTCGCTTAAAAAATTCCTCATTGATAGAAAACTAAATTAAACTCGCCCGCCCCGTAATTAGCAAATCTATCGTATGAGGAACCCAGGTTTGATAAGCTACTACCTTCTGCTGGGATTCCTCACCACACTTTTTTATAAATGATCATAAATAATAATTTTATATAGATTAAGTGTAGTTTGTTGTATAATGATATTATTATAGCTATTATTTTTGATATTGTTGTTACAACTGTAATTTATTTCTATATGTATGTGTGTGTGTAAGTGGCAAAATAAAAAAAAACTATGGCTTATGTTCACGAAAGTATGTGAAGTCTGATCTCGGAAGTAGTTTTTGCTTTCAAAAATGTAAAAATGTACATAGCCTTCGCCGAATTAAAAAAAAAATAGAAAGGCAGATTTAAGCAATTACTTTCAAGGATCATCTAGCGTGCAACGATGGTTAGTAAACTTCAACCTTTCAAGGCCAAAATAGAGACGAGTCTTTTCATGTCATAGTCCGTATTGACTGTTCTAGATCATTTGGTGTTGTCACTATTAGATGCCGATTTAAAGAGAAATTAGGGGCGCCTTTATTTTCTCCTGATGTAACGTATGGGCGGTAGTTTAAATACGAAATCCTCAAAGGTCGGAAATTAAAAGCCACGAAAACTCTTAAGAACTACCAGACACTAACAAATCAATTGAACATACAGCGATGTTGCTGAAAAGGGAGCGAACTTCCTAACACCTAATGGAGAACAACGAAAATATTGCAGACCGTATTATACATGGCATAGAAGGTGACTGCTGACTGTTTTTTTTTTCTCCTAAAAGGCTTCTAAAATAGATTAATACGGAAAAATGCTTCTATGCGGGGATCTGTGTCTTTCCGGTCAATTCATCATTTTCGAGTTCCATCTTTACTCTACACAGTGAACTAAGTTGAACTGAAGTGAAAAGTGCATCATGCGTAAATCATATCGACATGTTATACGCAAATGGAAACTTCATGCATTTTGAGCTTTAAAATTATACTTTTGTTAGGGAGCACAAGTTAACCTAAGCAATCCACCTTTGATCGCTAAACTTCGAAATTGAAAATGATGTCATGAAAAAAAAAAAATCATGGTCTTGAGAATCAAGTCATCAAAGCGTCTTTCAACATGATTTTATTTCCTCAATTCTCAACAATGCTTTCTCCAGTTCTCTCAACCTGGGTATCTTAGATTTATCATGGCATATATAGTACAGTCCGACGTGTGTTTCTCTTATAAACTTTGGATCAGCCCGATTTTGTAATTTTGTGATGTTGTTTCGTATAACTAGTGAGCTAAGGTTGGAAAACTGACATTGCTGTGAACGGGCATGTACGATCTTCTCATTAAACCAATGTCTAGACTTACGTTTTACAGGAAACGATAAACTGTCTGAGGTCAGTTTACGTCACGAAGGCGGTGTTTAATTTTTTCCGTTCTCCGTATTCTTCCTTGAGAGAACGGGATAATCCATTTAAGCTTTACAATGGCATTTTGAGATCATGAGATTTTGACGCCTACGACAGATTACATTTTTAAAGAAAATATTAGATAAAATTTAGATAGGAAGCGAGAGGATAAATCGACTTGAAACTGCCATAGAACCCCTGTGCCGTCATGGGAAAAATCCCGCCAATCAGATCATGCAGCTCGGATACGAAAATCTCTGCGGGATTAACCATAACGCGAACAAGCTCTCTTGACGTTGTGTTTGAGAATTATAATAGACTTGGGGAAATACAGTCAGATTACTTCGGTATTTGTGTTCAAACGCCGATCTTCGTTACAGTTCCGAATAAAAAAGTTAGCTTCGCCCAAACTTTTACTGTTTTATGTATATTTGCGTCTTTTGACCTTTTGTACCTTTTGCGAACTGCGCAGAAAACTTGAAATAACAAACAAAGTGCTTCAGAGAACAGCAAACGATAATCCAATCTCTTAGATCTTCATCATTCCATGTGAGAAACTCTTTCTTCTAAGCTCAAGTTTTTTGGGAAAAAAAGCATACCGTTTTCAATGGTAGTACCATCTTCCTTTAATTCTTGTTCCTAGTTTTTCTTTTTCTTAAACACGGCGATCTCTGATACGACTTCGTCGCAGAGATTGGATTAACATTCAATGAGAGAATATACGGAGGCCATCGTTTGTTATGAGTGGTCGCTTGAATTAAAAATGTAAAAGATCCTCTAGCAAGTTTAAATTTAAGTACTGAAGCGGCACGAGCTGAAGACGAATAATCCAACCAGAAAAGAGAAAGAAGTGAAAAAAAAATTGAAGGCTCCAAGACTTCTGAGATGAGATTGTCTACTTTAAATTTTAACACTGGAATTATATAACTAAATGCTGTCAATACGAAATGCTTCAGGTTGAAACAAATAGTCCCGTAGAGCACTATTTTAAGCGTTTGCATCCTATTTACCTGGAAACACCTCTCAGTGGATGGAAACTGTGCTAACTTCATGATATAGATGAAAAAGGTATTAAAAAAAATAACTGTTTTTATATCATTGTCATACGGCCGAGACAAAAGCTTTTACAACACACAACACTTACTTCCGAACTCCTATGCAAGATAGAATTACAGCCATCACCGTTCTGTTGGAGCCTTTGCCGGTATGACTCTTTCTCTTGAAGCCGGAGGAATTGCTTTTGAACTTTGAACGTAAATTACAGAGCTAAGGCGAGAAAAAGTCTCCTATAAAAGCGCGAGGTTAAAACTTCAACTCAGCTGCCAGATGCATGTCGATCATGAGAGGTCATCATGCATATCAGCAGATTAAACTGGTTACACTGGGCTTGTGCTTGACTGCCACTCGCCTGAAAGACTGATGAGTTTTTTTGACTTTGATGCAATTAGCGTTCACACGGATGCGTAGGCAGCTAAATACCATTGCACAAGGTTTTGACGAAATTCAGGCAAACGCAATATGTTAACCTTATGAACGCAATATGTTAACCTTATGATCATGAAGATTGAGAAATCTTGAGCGCGTGACGCAAGCGAGGACGAGACGTTTAAGTGCTCAGGGGGTTGTCCCAGAATTTTTTTAAACGGTGATGTCTTGAGGTTTTAAAATCAATTTGCTGTATTAAAGTTTTCTGTTTTTCTTGGTGAACTGAGGTTCGAACAAGTTTTGGCTAATTATTTTGTAGTTAAGGTGAGATCAGTTGTCAACCAAGAAACGAAATTTACACCCTAACATCAGTATGCGTATTCTCTATGCTGTTAACTATACATTCCCGATGGTATTGAAAAGAGAAATTTGTTTAACAATCGAGAACTTCTTGAGTGGATGGTCTTGCTCAACAATATAACACAAAGGACTTGAATTCAGAACTCTCGGTCCTCTGTGATAACCGCGATGAAGCCGTTACACGAAAGAGCGACAGGTTCAACATGAGCCTTCGGATAAAAAAAAAAAGACAGCGGTCTATATCTTTTAATCAGCTTAACGTCGTAACTGAAGAAAACCGTAATTTTCTTAGATTTATCTAGCAAAATTTGCCTTTCTAAAATAATTGAAATGCTCAAAAGTACAAAAAGGATGTGCTTTCGTAAAAATTATGTGAAAAATATTTGGAGAACGAGAGCAAGAAGGAAACAGAAGAATTGCTAAAAGGATCATGTGAAGGTTTCATCCTGTTAATCGTTCTCAGGAGATTTATTTGCTACCCTATGACCCGAAGACGTATATTTTATTTGAATTGTCGAACTCTAAAAATCCTTACTAAACAAGAAAACTAACATGAAATTCATATGTTACTTGGAATTCCAGTAATTTGAACTAAGCCGAGTGATTACCATGTTATGCTGACAGGGAATTATTTACAAGGCAAACTTGTAATAACCTTGACAAATACTAGGGAAGATAAACGGCCATTAATCAAGAGGTGTTACCGATCCTCGATTAGGTATTAAACAGAACAATCGGCTTTCTTTTTAAAAACCTTTCGTTTACCAAACACCATTTGTATTCGTTGCCATCTCTCTAACCGTTCAATTTTCTTCCTTTACATACTGAGGTGTTGTCTTCAAAATTCGCTCAAGTTTTTTCAAATTCGCAACTAACCTTCAACCGTTCACGCTAAGTACTACACTGAAACAAATAATAAAAAAACAATGGCAGACGAAACAGAAAGCCATTGCCAAAACTCTACACCTACTTTTGAAATCCCGCACAGGCAAGAAACGCCGCCATATTCACTGCAGGGAAGACAGGCCTTGCTCCTTCGTCGATGGAGATCTGATGAATAAGTCCGATCTTCAAAAAACCACACTTTTATATTTACTGCAGCTGTATTTTAGATTCACTCCCGTAGCGTTGAATTTCTAGAGCAAGAGCGATCGTGTCGCTTGAATAATCATCGGAAATGTCCAATTTCTGCGGGATGACATCGTGTACCGAAAAGGCCACACTTTCAATAATAATCACGCTTTGACATAAGTGAACATACACGGTACATATGACAGCCGATGAAAGGTCACAGTTGACATTTGCCAAATTTTCACCTTGGGATACCTTTCAATCAAAGATCGTGTTCGATTTCTTAAATACCCCCTCCCCCCTGGGAAAACCCCGACGTAAATAGCTCGCTATTTCTGACACGGAAAGGACCTTTATGCTCACTAGCGCTCCGATTGACATCGTTGATTTTCACTTTTGTTAAACACAACGGTTGATTTTTCTCTTGATTAAAACTTATGATAGTGAATGGTGCTCGTGTTATCTGTTGCCAAACTCTGCGATGAATATACCAGTTCCTGCTGACAGATACAACGGCATTCCAACAACAGATAACGTTTTATTTCACAGGAAGAAAAAAACAGTGCGCTGAAATCAAACTCTCACAGGGGGAAGTCGAACGTTGAGACACGCAAATTCTACTGCTGCTCGCTTTTTCCGGTTTTTACCTGTTTCCTTTGAAAGTTTCCGCGAGAAGGCCCTAACTAAAGACAGGGTAATAGCACAGTCCCTGAAATAATTGCATTCGTAGACAATTTAAGGGAAACTTCGTGGCAGGATGGAATAACTGATATTTCGCGGTCAGCCTTCGGTATTCCCATCAATAGTATCATGCACGGACTTGATGATGACGTCATGGGGCGGTTCTCCTTTAAAACTTGTTACGGGGTCGATACGAACGAAAATTGGAAGCAGTCCTCGAGGACGTTTATCTAATCATAAATTAATTAAAAGGGGCTTGTTGTGGCTTGCTGAAAAGAGCCAGAGATAAATTTGGAATAACACTCAAATAGCAACTCTCTTCTCCAATTCATGGATCGTCATACCAAGAAATAGATTGTAATAAATAGATTGCAAAAGTCATGTCTACAAAAAGAAAACCGTAAAATTTCGTCAAAATATATAAAAGAGAAAAGGAAAAAATAATTGAAATTCGAGCAAAGTATTCATGATAATGTTAAAGAGGACAGTTTCAGAACTGAACGAGGAAGAACCGTGAGCATGGTTCAGTCCGTTTATCAGTTAAACTAAATTTTCAAATTCTTATATCAAAAAGTAAGTAAAGAGCAGAATATCTGAAGATGTTACGCTATACCTTAGAGCTGAAACTTAAACTTGTTAAAAAGAGGATAATTTGGGCTAATTTGTCATCACAATCTTATACATGTTTCTTCGAAAAGCTATTTCGTATGTTTTAAAGATCTCTGCAGATAAGGCTGAGTTACATCACGCACTTTCCGTAGCGGCCGTCTCTTGAACCCCTAGCTTGTTTCTCGGTCAAAGACTCGACTTTAGAAGTTGCAAGACTGTTCAAAGTTTTCAAAGAATTAATTTTTTTTATCTTTATTATTATTATTATTATTTTTATATATATTTTGGGGGCCATGGTTTTAGCTAAAACCGTGGCCCCCAAAATATATTTCTCACCTTGCCTTACACGTGTTAAATTTTTTACAACATTTTTTTACAAATTTTTCACAACTTCGCCTGTTCCTGTTCGTAAGTCCGGCCAAGCCTTTACGTTCATCGGCCCCTGTAACTTTGGCTTATAAATACAGGCGTTTAGTCATACTTGTAAACTTCCTGAAAAAGTCTACGACAGTTAGACGAAACGCATAGGAAAATACAAGAAGTTTTACAACTAGTGTTCGCAGAAGTGCTGCTCACTAGTCTATATTTAAAAAATTGTTTCCTCGAAAAGCTATTTCGTATGTTTTAAAGATCTCCGCAGACAAGACCGAATTACATCACGCACTTTCCGTAGCGGCCGTCTCTTAAACCGCTCGCTTGTTTCTCGGTCAAAGACTCCACTTTAGAAGTTGCAAGACTGTTCAAAGTTTCCAAAGAATTTAAAACTACGATGTAAGGATGCAAAAAAACCGTCGAAAGGCAAATCGTGCTGATGCTCTCCTCGCTCACATTTGGGGTCAATTCTAGGATCTGATTAGTACCACTTCGGCAATTTAAATTCAATCACGTACTCGATAGAAATTAAATTCAATAAAATCCAAAAGTATGGTGAGCAGATGCTGGAAACATCTTTAATTAAATCAGCCCAATCTTGTTTGTTACGCAAGAGCCCGTTCAATTCTGATTTAATTTCCTACGTCAGTTTTGTCAACCAAGAACTTAGTACCCAGGATATGTTCTCTCTGTCAACGAGAAACTGTTCCGTTCTCTCAAACGAGATAAACATTCTGAAGCTCGAGATCGAAAAATCTAAAAATTAAGTCTCCAAAAAATGTACACTTAAATCCTAAAAGCGATAAAGTGAACTCTACGCTCTACGGAGCAGTCTCAATGCGATTCGAGATTTGCACGGGAATCTCCAAGGTTGAAAGGCTGATATCTAAGTCGTGGCATAATTCATTCCTAAGATCTCATATTCTCCTTGCTGTCTGGCATACAACTTTTATGATGCCAGTTCGGAGAATCTGGTATTGGATGAACTAATATTCCCCTAATTGATATTGATCTTTATTCTCATCAGTTGTCGGCTTGATATTGTATTGATATATATTGTATGGAGAAATTTTGTCTTGGTCGCTCATGGGAGTTAAAAGATTGATAAAAGCGAGAAGATATTCATTGCTCTATTCGTCGCTCTGAATGAGGAAAACGGTTTGGTTATATATAAAATACAGCTGAAAGTTGCTTTGTTGTAGAAATTTCTCTCGGAGGTTGTTACATCAAGAGGTACACTGTGATCGAAAACGACAGTCTTGCACAATGTCAAAAAATCTAAAACAGTTAATTTGCACAACCATAGTTAACTATGGCACAACGCACCAATTTTCCAAACGTGATACTCGCCGTATACAAAATCTCGCCCAAAATAATTTCGATTAATCAAAAAATAGATTCAGGTTTTAGATATGATTAGTTGCAAAGCGTAAAAAATTAAATTCAGACATCCATTTCTGCAGATATGTGGTTATAAGAGAAGAATTAATTGATATCCAGTCAGAACTCCTTTGAAAGCTGAATTAAATTTTTTTTCAGCAAGTCTAGCGTGCCTGACACGAATTTTTCCGCGGATGTGTTTGGTGCTTCTTAAAGTGTACCTAATGTTTTCCTGGCTCAGTGCCTCACACAGCTTTGAAAGCAATATGCCCCGACCTGTAATACGGAGGTTTGAGTACAATCACGTACGAATTGTTTTGATAAGCATTCATATTGGAAACATATGGGTAACATTCCTTATAGCCAAATTTTGATGCGAAGAGAATATTAAAAAATCTAGTCGAACATTCGTGACCAATTTTGTTTACTTGTGTCTTTTTGTCCCAACCGCTATGTTCGAAATTAAAACTTTCTTTCTTTAACGCTGTGGTGAATAATGGTTTTCGTATATAACACACAGAAACCAATAAATTAGCTTCTTTCCATCCGATAGTTTTTCGGTAGATTGGCAATCTACCGAAAAACGTCGAAAATTTACTCTTAAGGCGCGATTTTGTCTCTTCGCTTGCTCGGAGGTGAATGGAACTTACTAATCACTTCCGAACTGGCCAATTGGCGCGCGAAAAAAGCACTGTTTACCGGAATGGTATATAGTTATAACCGAAGGATAACCAGATATGATGAATATATGAAGTTCATATATTTTGAACTGCGGTTATAGATACGTATGATGCACGATC